CGCTTCTCCGAGCCGAGCCGGGGAAGAGGGCGTTCCTCCGGCGGAGCGAGGATGCACCGCAGGGAGGGCGCCCGCGCTGGCGGTCGGGCCGTGCGGCGGGGCGGCAGTCGGCTCCTTTCCCGCGTACACCGTGGGGCGGAGGGCAGGTGCGCCGGGAGGCTGTGGCGCTGGCCCTCGCTGCATCGGAACTCCTGCGCCCTCCCGCTCACTCCCTCCCCCCCCTCTAGCACCGAGAGCCCCCGGCGGAGCAGGGGGAAGCGGGACGAGGACCCCGGGCGGGGGCGTTGGCGCCGCCTCACCTCGAACATGAGCCCCAGCAGGAAGATCATGGCCATGCAGGACACGATGTCCGCATGGTTCTGCACGATGAACTCGTGGCTCAGCACTGGCGGGTTCTTGTTGCTCTTCTTGCGGATCGCCATGGCGGGCCGGGAGCTGGGCGCCGGCGCCGCCGCCTCCCCGCTGCCAGCACAGCTCCGCTCGCCGCGGCCAGGAAGAGGGGGAGGGGGAGGAGGCGACCGCGCAGCCGGGGAATGGCACGGCCGCCGCTCCGCTTCCCCCTCCCGCAGCGCCCCTGCCGGCCGGCGGCGCCTCCGCCCGCGCTCCGCCCGCCCGGGGGCGGCAGTTCGAACCCACCAACCCGGGAGCGGCCCCGGGACGCGGCGTGGCCGGGACTCGTCAGCAGAGCTGTGCCGTGCTGTGCCACCTGGGCAGCGGTGCTGCGTCCTTGGCAGCGCGGCCGGATGCTCGCTGGCCGTAGCCCGAAGCCCTCGCTGGGCACTGGCCCAGCTTCTCTCCCGCCGGGGCAGCGGCGACATAAAATGACTGGGGATCCCGCCGGGCTCGCGACCTAACAGAGCGGGCTGGCCCCGCTTCGGGCTGTGCCACGGAGTCGGGTCGGACTCCACTCCTTCCCGGCACCCCCGCCATCCAGGTTCACTTTTTTTTTTTTTCACTCTCACCTTCCCCGAGGCTAAGCTTGGTGGTCACTAGACCCCCGCCAGCTGTAAGATGGGCTCCTGGAGGGTGCAAGGAGGACGCCCGCCGGGCTCGTTCTGGGCACGGCCGAGGCGCAGCCGCACGGTCCCGATGTCACCAGGCAGCGGCTCCCGCCGTCCCTCTGCTCACACTGTAGTGTGCAGCCAGAAATAACAAGTAACATGTAACAATAACAGTAACAAGGAATCCAAGTGCAAGAAAGGAGAGGGGAAGAAAAGCTAACCGAGGAGTACAGACGGAAGAGACATTAACAGAAGACTGGAAGTAGATTAAAAAAACAAGCCAGTCACAGGAGGCTCTTGCCTGGTTTAAACGGATGAATTAAGAGGTCTGAGAAATCAACACCGATGTAGAAGACACCCAGGCTGAATTCAGCTGTCCTTCATCCCCTCCAAAATTCATGCTCTGTTTATTTATTAAAGCTTCTGGGTGGCAGATACTCCCCGTGGATATATGGAAAAGAAAGATCAAGAAAATGACTAATTTATAGCTGAAATTTAGTGTTGTTAGAATGGCTTTTGCTGCCAGCAGCTAATGAATACAGTGTAAGAAATTAGGGTAAGAAATTAAGGTTCAACTGTTTGGTTGGTATTGCTTCTCCTTGCCAGAATTGAGAGCATGTATCAAATATATTGTATGAGCTGTTGGTAATAGGTTCATTTCTTCCTGCTGTATGGACCAGACTGATGTCCAGGTTTTTCAACTATAAAACATCTTCATCAGCTGTGTAGATGCTCAGAGGTTTCCTGTGAATTTCATAAATCATCAGACAGATATATTTGGTGTCTGGAGATGATCTAGGATACTTAAAAATACAGAAAAGGCTACAGAAAATTTCCTTGCACAGCTGTGGTTTTTTTATGATTAAACAGAAGCAGCATTCATATTTCAGTCCTAAGATGTTTTATACCCTAGAAATCCCTTAATCCCCTGGCTACACCACTATTTTGTTACTCTAAAGTAAGCAGAACACTACTTCAACAATAACAATGTGAAAGTATATCCCTGATTGCATACAGTGTAGTCATGGATGTAACATACTGCACCTATGAAACATATTGGGCTGGAATCCTTTTTGCAGTATGTTTGCATCTATGTCCCACCTCAGACTTAAAAGAAATCAGGTCATCTCATCTCCACAGAATATAACAAACAGGACTTAACTGGGACAAGACGTGCTTTCCCAAGCTATAATCAGCAAGTGCCTTGAGCATTTGGCTGGATGTCCTGTCATACAAGCACTGAGACCCTTGGTTTCAGCTTGGTTTTGTGTTTGTCCCGATGATAGTCTATATATACAGTCTATAAACTGCTATACTGAGGCAACCTGTCGCTTCATCTGAAGTTTCCACACCTTCCTTTTATCAGAAGTTCCCTCTTCTGCCCCATGAAGTTTCATATGGCTGTCTAGGCAAAGTGGGATGATCTGAAACACCAGACAGTCAGCCTTCACTCTGCTTCTTGCCAGTAGGTGGCTGGTCTATGTTTGCCAGGTTTCTTTCCAGATATCCATGTTTTGCACCACTAGGCTTCAAAATGGTCACATGATTTAGGAAAGAAGTTTCCTATCACCTGAAACAGGGGAAGCCACTAGCACCTGTGCATGTGTGTGCCCAAAACCTCACCAAGAAAATCAAATAAAGCATTTCAGGTGGCAAGACTGTGGAGACTTTGGGAGGAAGAGTATTATGGCACCTGCAGTTGTAAGACACAAACAGAACACTCTTCCTATTTGGGAATTTTTCCTGAATTCACTTGTCATCAAACATGCTTAAAGATAGAACCAAGAACAATTTTAAAAGAGGTCTAAATAAGCAAGTTAGCAAGAAACAGAATAGAAAACCTCAAAAAGGTTATAACTACCATCAAACTTCTTTCCTAGGTCTTAAACCTAATAAATGATGCAGTCTCTCAGAACAGAATCTTCACATGAGCTGGCAGGAAGGCTGGAAACACAACTTGTGCTTCCTCCAGCTTCTCACCTCAGCTGTTTAGAAAGTTAACACAGCAAATGACATCTGCCCTTCTCGCCTGTTGAGACAGAGATTGCTCCTTCTCTTGTTTTTATCTGTAACTTTTAATGCATTCTGCACAGATGAACATATTCACATAAGGGATGTGAATAGGCTAATCCCCATTTTTATACATACACAGCCTATAGCTTACATTACCACCATTTTTAAATAAACATTCCATCTGACATAATCAACAAGGAGTCTTGAGACCTTTACAACATGTCATAGCAAATGTAAGCTCCCTTTATTACATATATATCTTAGTAACAGTGCAAACTCTGCTCTTAATATTTCAAAGACACAATATACAATCATTAATGACTTGTCTGGTTAAACTGCCCTTTCCCTCATTTTCTTTTGAAGATGTCAGGCATTTGTTGCAGCACAGCACAGAACATGAAGTTCTCTGATTTGTATTCTCTTACTTTCTTTGCTGTCTGCAAGTTTCAGCAATTCTTTATTTGGATTCTAAAGCCATTTCCCTGTATTTAAAAACTTACAGTAAAACAGAAGAAAATGGTTAGGCAACATTAGATTTCTCATTTAGATCAAAAAGAGAATGAGCTATCACCTCTTCATACTGGTTTCCTACTGTCTTAGGTTTTCAGACCTCATGACAGAAAACCGTGTCATTTCACTGATATTTCTGTTTTCCTGAAGCAAAGTGATGTAAAAGCATGTGATTTTTTTTTTTTTAAAGGAAGTAGTGATAGTTATGCTTTTATTCCTAACAATGGAAAAGATAATTACAAGTTCATGAAATAGCTACATGAAAACTAATTATTAATGGCAAGAACTCCATGAGAAAACTTCTGAGTAACTATGAAGAGAGAAAGAATCCAAAAGGAATTGAAAAAAAATGTTTGTGTGGGGAAGGAATAAAAAGAGTCTGAAACGGAAAAATGCAAGTAAACAGAAAATACAAAAGAAAGGAAAACTAGGAGACCTGAAAAAGACCTCAAAACAGCACTGCACCAAAAGTTAAAAGTGAGTGCATGTCATGATGTGGCCAAAAGTCAGATCAATGAAGTCTGCAAAAAGCATCATTTTAGCAGAAAGTAATTATTTCCCTTCTGAAGGGGTCTGGCTGCTACTTTAGAATATGATTTCAGTTTTGGATGCTGTTCTCTGGAGTATTTTTGTTTTGGAGTTGTCTCATCTGATCAGAACAAATGCCATCAACTTCATAAAATAATGCTAAGTATGACGACATGCCTTTACATACCCAAACATATTCATATTTCACAAATGAGGACACAGGATTGAATGGTGAAAGGTTTTAAGGGACATATGTTTGTCCCTGGTAGTTTCAAAACATTTCATATCTGCTTTTGTTTTTTAAGGTTGAGCCAACATTAAAAGAAGTATATGTATCATTAAAAGCCACATACTTGGAACACACAAAGTAATGCAAACATTTATGCACTATTCTTCAGGTGTAAGCTACACAGAGAAGAGAACTCACAGTTTAAATTAATCATCAAACATTGTATTTTAATACACTATACAGTATCTTACAACCAAATACAACCTTTAGTTAAAATATTTGTAATTTAAGTGGATTTAACAGCAAAACTTGAAGATTGTTAGTTATGATGTCACAATCAAAGTTAACTTCATACGGTGTGTAATACGTATCTCGATTTATACAGATTTTAAATTACATTCTTGCAGAATCTGTCTTTTGACACTGGTTAGTTAAAATTATTGAATTCTTTGAATGAATTCCATAGAAATGGTGTTTCCACCAGAAAACAGAGAAGCCTGAAATTACTTCCAGTATTTGTTAAAATCTATTGCAGCAAACAACCAGCAAAGATGAGCACAGTCAGCTAAATCAGAAAAGGAACATAACCCCCATTATTTACATCTATGAACAGAAATAACTTGTTTTTTTAGAACATACAGATAACTTATTAGAAAATCACTTCTTGAGAAGCACAAGCAAATGAAAACGGGTTTAGAATAACATATTTTCTCTTCTTTCTACTGGAGTTTTTTTTAATATCTGATTTATAAAGTTTATCATATTGCTTTATGATATCATAATATTAAGTTCATAAGACCTTGCTATTTGTCTTCTGCCACTGATGATAAAACTGGGCATTTTGTAACAAAGATATGATTTGGTTCTTCACGCTCATTCCACTTTATTAACTCAGTACCTATCAGGATATTTTTAAAATCCCTATGAAGTAGAATATGAAAAACATTAGTTAACTGACTGTAACATTGCTTTAAAACTGTGTTACTGATTTTAAAAAAATAAGTAAAAATTAGTTTTTATTTTACATATAGGCTGAGCTCATCATTATACTTTTTCATACAGCAATTGTGCAGATTAAATATATTCTTGAGAAATCTTGCATAACTTATAAATTGTTTTTCCATCTGAAGCTGGGAGTTTCGTCACGTACTGTTAAGAAAAAAAAGGCCAAATTAGTCACAAACCAACATTTAAGGTTCTATTTATAAACATTAGACTATCTTAAACTTAAACCTGTACATGCACATGTATGTCTACATGTAATGTTTTATTAAAGCTATTGAAATACCTTCCTTCAGGCCAATGTTCAGTTTTCATGGAAGGTGATAAACATTAACTGTTTCACAATGTAACCTAGCAATATCAGGAGTGATTAATAAAAAGGGTTTAATAATACTCTAGTTATTTGAAGTTCAGAATATTAAACTTTCTAGATATTAAGAAATCTGAGGTAGAAGAGCCGTTGTTGTATTTTCTGAAATTTATAAACTTTAGAGGGAAAAAATGTCTGTGCTGCTAAATTAAGAACAGTCAAATTATTTTTATCTCTTCATCAGCTATGATATAATGACCAAATTATATCCAAACACGGGAGAAAGCTTTCATGCACATGTTGTGCTGTGCTCCTGTTCACAAGACATTATTTTTCTGTTTCAAGTAAGAAAAGGAGATCTGTAAAGGCAGTGTCACTCCCAACTGAAGTTATAAAAGTTATGTACTAAGAAAAACTGCAATCCCTAGTACGAAGCGGTAAATTAATGACTGCAGCAGACAGCATATGGCCATCATTTGCATTGAGTAACTCTCTTGTAAGGTTGTAATGTGCCTGTCACACTCCTTAGCAATACTGACAAGATGTTTCTTGGGAAAAATATTTTGTGAAAATTAAGCAGACAGTGTTATGTCTACAACTCAAGTCTTCCATAATGAGAACAAAACTTGAAATGCTCCAACTCTGAGTAGGTGGAAAGGACATCAAAGGACATCAAAATCAAATGAGCAAGTACCATGAGAGTACACAAGCATTGGTATGCTATGTGCCCAGAACCAACAGAATCAGTTTTCCCTAACAGATGTCCTTAATTTGAACTGAAAAATAGACAAAGGTCACATGATGTTAAGCATTTACCATAGACCTGGGCCTAAGCTTATATTTAAAAATTCAGCAACTGCAGAGATCAGCACCCCAAGTGTTATGATTGTTTTCCTCCTTCTCTGTGAGCACAAACTGAAGTTTAAAAATCAAATCAAACCAAAAAACTTCAAAGGGCGCTTCTTGTCCTTCCTGGAAAACAGGAGCATACATCTGAATCAAGGACCTCCAACTGGAGTAAGAGTCACAATTATTCTGATTAGTATCTCCTCTAGTTATTTAAACATATCAATATTTTCAAGTAATTGATTCTCTGTGAACAAATAACTGACTGTATCTGCTGTCTCTTCAAAACTGAAAAGTGATTTCTGAGGAAAACTGAGTTATTTTTGTTCAGTAAACACAGAAATGGTGTTTTTGGAAAAACAAACAAACAAACAAATAAACCCTTAAGTCTGTAGCTCGCTCAGACAAAGTAATTCCCAGACATTCAAGATGCACACAGGTTTTTGTAGGGAAGACTGCAAGTCTATCTTTCAAGGGAAAGTTAATTTATCCACTACTTGATCTAAACAGAAAATGCTGTTTCTTGAACAACTTTGGTAGTGAAAGGAAGGGATAAACCAGTCAACAGTGCCTAATGCCCTTGAGGAATCTGCTGGAGCCAACGTGTAGAAATGTGTAGGTCAATAATGTATATTAATAACCAAGAATTGAGATAATATTTAAAAGCTGGTGCAGTATCATGCTGGTAAGCTTCTATGGCATTCTGCACAAGTAAGTCTAAAGACAACATTTTCTGAACTTGAGTAATGACTGCATTTGTGTGATGCTAGTCTATTTTCTTTAAATAAAAAGAAGATTATTATTATTACAAAAATTAAGTTTCAGTTGTTCAGCTAGTATCTAGTAGCTGTTTTATCAGTAAAATAAACAGAAGGTCTAAGTTGAAAAAACCCCACTAATTTTATGTTGTTATTCAGGCTGGTAAATGCTGAAAATCTGAAACAGCTGTAAATATTTGTGTCATTATTTACTTGTAAGTAGACAGTCCTGGGTGCAGTTATGTAACGAACAGGAAGAAATATATTCCTTAGCTTCTGTCTGAATAACATTTCCATATGCACATGCCATTAGAGAAATAGAAACAGTAAACTAAATACAGTTGCTCTGCTTAGGTAGTGTACTAATCAGAAATCGTAGAAATATACACTGCTTGATTTTAAGCATCTCTAGAACACATATACACAAAAATATGCATTTCAGAAATGCGGAAACTTAAATGTAAACCCATAAAATGCTATGTACTTGCATATTTAGGTATGAATTCCAGAAAATATACAAAGCTATAAATGCTAGCATTAGGAATGTATTCTATGGTATGCTGTAAATAAAAATTTAAAGGTACATGCATTGTGCTCTAGGCAAGTAACAAATACTTCATGGAATATTGTCTAAAAGTTTGAAAATAGGGTACAACCATTTTGTATATTATTCTACTTCAAACCGAAACACAGCTACTGCAACAAATTGCATTTTTTCCCCTATAAAATAACGCACTTTAATAAAATGAGTAACAGTACACAGAACATGAAAATAAAAATGACCCTCCTTTTACCCTCCATCCACAACTTACACACTTTTCCTTCTTTTTCCAGCTTCTTCAAGTGGACTAGGAGGTTATTTTCTGCTGCTGGAAGTAAATTTTCAGGGATTTCCTAACGGGAACAAAAAATATGCATATTGTGTTTGTTTAAATATTCATCAATTATTTTTTCAATATATGGAACTCATGGTTTATTATCACATATTTTCCTCTTCTGAATTGCCATGTTGAACATTCGGTTAGTTACAGGAAACAGAGATGAGTAAATAATTTTTACACCAGTTAAACTAGCAGTCTAACAACACATTTTTGTTTACTTCGCTCATTTTTTGCATTATCCGTTTGTATGATGCAAACTTTGGCCAGCATCAAGAAGACTGTGCTCTTCTGAGCTTGGTCTGCACTGGGTTGTCAGTGTAGCTGAGTATTTTTAAAGACAAATTTAAGATGCATTTCTCCACATACACCTATCACTTCTATTCCACAACAACATTTGCATAGGTTTAAATATCCTGTAGTGATTAGTATCTGTAAATAAGTGAACAATTAAAAAATATAACAGCTTCAGGAGGACAAAACATCTCTTAAAATTTTTCAATGCTCATTAGGTAAAAAATAGTAACATCCAGATAAGCTGTGGATGCCCCATCCCTGGAAGTGTTCAAGGACAGTGTGGGTAGGGATTTTAGCAATCTGGTCTAGTGGAAGATGTCCCTGCCTGTGGCAGGGGGGTTGGAACTAGATGACCTTTAAGGTCCCTCCAACCCAAAGCATTCTATGATTCTATAACGATTGCTCAAAATCCCCCTCTCCAGCTCTATCATCCTAAAAGTAAAGCTTTTTTTTTTTGTTTTTGAAAATTAAAAAGCTCTTCTCTAAATAATATGAGCATGGTAGGAAAATTCACTAGAAAATTAGTTAAATAAATTGTGAACCTTTAAAATACTTTGAAAGCATACACTTTTCTTTGTAATATAAAGCTTTAGTAGTATTGAAAAAATTTTTATATATATAGGACAAGCGATTTGTGATTTACAGAAACATGACAATGGCTGTATACTTAAAAACTAGTTGATCAGGCTGGAAAACTGCAGAAGCTGAACTGCCACAGGTAGTGGTACATCAGCATTGCAAAACATTCAATTTGATGTACTCATTCTTTTGGAAACTGGGGGTCAGCAGAACCATGAAAAACGAGTTGTGAAGCTGTTACAGATATGTGCACAAGCCAAAGCCATTGGCAACTTTGTCATCTTCCTCCTAGAGTAAATGCTGTATCATCTCTGCTTGCTAGGAGGGGCAACCCCCACACAACAGGGATTGCAGAGGTTACATGAAGAATGATAAAGTAGCAAAAAAATACTCTTACGCCTGTTTAATGACACACACAAGCTATCCAACTTCTGAGTAGCAACATCCATCTCTGCGGAGCTGCAGTTCACCTGCAATCTCCTGCAGACTGATAAATCAGGAACTACAAGTTCTAACCAATCTTCAGGAGACTCCAAACACAGTTTGGCAAATCAGTGACTACTCGCCATGTTATACTTTCCACTTAGAACCAAGTAGTACAACTTTACTTTTGCTTCATCCTATGAAACTGTGCTTAGGGCCATCTAGGTAGTGAAATAAGAAGTTCATAAGAATCATCTGAGTCTCACTCCAAGGAAGTGCTTAAGTAATACAATTTAGATGCACTCATAAGTGAATCCTGAACAAGCAGCATTTTTTTTTCTCTCTTTTAAGAAGCCACCATGGTCTTCACTCAAAGACTTCAACTGTTACATACAATTTTATGAACATAACCTCAATTTTCTTTAGCTTGATCTAAAAACTTTGAATCAACAATTACCTTGTATACTATCTTTACAAGCTCTGAGGATGTGTATGATTTTCCAGTATTCTTCTGGAACACATTTAGAATTTGCTGTTCACGTGCAACTCGGTGAGAAATGTAGTTTTGGATTCTAGTATTTGCATCACGTACTACAGGGCCATGACCTAAAAATCAAAACACATGTACCAGAGCACTATTACTCAAATCTGGAATTAAGTATGTTATTGAATAATTGAAACATTCCTATGTAAATTCCGGTAGATTTAAGAGTCATAAGGAAGAAGCAGCACCTTTATGTATCACCCTGTCAGAGTATCCTTGATGTTAAATTGTCAGACACTCTTTGAATGATTTTGTGTGGGGGGATTTTTTTTGTTTGTTTGTTTTTTTTCTTCCCATCATATAAATAGGCCACAATTAAGTTTGAATGTCTGTATCACAGTCTGCAACTGAAAAGCATTAAGATGGAAAGGAAGAATTAGGATATGAAAAGTCTGAATGGGGAAAAGGAATACTTGAGATGGAATGAGGAAAGCAAGGGAAGACTACTTTAGGCTATTAAAAAAAAATGGAAAGGAGTTAATTGCTGAGCAGACTTTAAAATGAGATTCATGTTATTATAGTATCTGTGTTTGCCTGTCTTCCCCTCCCCAGGACATGGATATTGATGATTTAAACTGATACTGGTCTTTGAACAATAGTGGCTGGTGTAAAGGACGCAGGTACTACTGTCCTGTTGGGGACTACCTAGCAAGCACTGAGGTGGCATCTTTAATTGTGACAGGTAATTTTCCAGGACAGATCTTCAGAACTGATTCATACACTGTATTTTATTCCTTTAAAAACGTAAGTGATCATAAGTATGATAAAAAAAAATTAATAGAAGGGACAAATCAGTGAGCCAATCGGAATGTGTCAGGGCAGGAATAAACAAGGCACAGGGAAAGTTACAGGTGGGTCATTTTATGTCCAGCTGGTTAATAAAAAAAACACACATGTTTTTTCCTGGACTGATTGTGCCAGTTCAGAAATATTCAGCTTACTGACAGGTCTTTGAATCACCTTATGAAAAGGCTTAATTGGTAAAGCACTAACCTTTATGAAAATATCAAATACTGCCTCATGGTACACTAAAATGACAGACGAAAATATTCTTCAGCCATGAGAATTACATGCACAGAAATTAAACTTAATGTTTTACCTATTGAGAAATCTACTTGCATGAATAATCATCACATGCTTTTTATAGCAAGGTTTCCTATTTCTTTGCCTGTATATCTCACTGAAGTAGCAACAGCAATTTCCAGCTCTGCCAATGCAAACTCTGAGTAATTTATAAAATTAGTAGAAAAGAAAGTACTGTAAAAAACTATAGCTTTCTTTTAGAAGTTATTTAGTATCATCCAAATTGGACAGTTTCTCTTGAGATTCTTGGACTATTTAAAAAAATCACCTTATTCTTTACCTGTACTTTGGATTAACTGACTAAATGGCTTTTTAATATTAAGGCTTTTTAAATTAAAGCTCATTTTGCCTTAGGACAGGCAGCTTATAGAAAAACAGCAATTAATTTTTCATGTTTTGAATATCTGTGAACTAAAGTGTCAAAGGGATCTGTTCTTCCGTAAGTCAAAATATACACATCTCAACTTATACACTCACTTCAGCACATCTGAAATTACTAAATATAGCTTGAAGCTTACCTTGTGTAAATATAGTATCATAAATATAAGATATGTAATGTGCAAATATAAAACTATACTGTCATATGCATTTATATTTAATGATTTCAAACATATTTAATCTGAAGCTATTGTCCCTTACAAAGTAAATTACAAATATAACACTGTTACCATTTATAAAATCAAAACTTTAAACTTAGAAAAAACACATTAAGATATACAAAGCAGAGACTATAACGGTAACTGTCCATTTTCTTGCATTCTCTAAGGACAGAAGTCTCATTAAAGCAATCAAAAGTAAGGCCTGCACATGGAATCACAAGGCATCTTAAAACCTATCCCCACTCTTCCAAGTGATTTAATTGACTTAGACTACAGGACCAATGTCCGGACCTGAAACTGGAATCCATATTTTGCAAAGTTAAAGGCATTTCATATCCATTACATCATCTGATCCCTAGCTGTTGTGTATGCATATACATACATTAAAATGATGTCAGAAATCTAGGAACTAAATCCAGATGTGGATCTTTCCCATCCATCATTTTTCCAGGACAGCAATACAATTAACTTCATCCATAAATGGATTTATATCTGAATAAATGTAAAACGTTTCTGAGCACATGAAAAGCACTCTCAAAATATGACTGTACTGTCATTCCACGAATTTATATCAGACAGATTCATATTATTTTCTGGTGACACACTGTGAAATAATACAGATTCTCTTACTTTAAATTACAGCACAAAGGATAGAACAGAAGAAAACAACTGGCTCATAAAATTTTGCACAGATTCCTAACTCCAGTATCATTTTTTCTGTATTATGAAGGAATATTGTTCATTATTACAGGATGGGGAGCCCTCTGCTGACTAAAAAGCCCTTTTCTTGTCCCAAGGATTCACATCAAATACTGGCTGTAAGTAGACGTTGTGAGTATTCTGCCTGAGTCACTTCTACATTAAATTGAAAAAGAAGCACGGAAGGGGAACGATTGGCAAAATTCAGCTACTCACACCTAGCCAGCAGTCAGCTTGTTACAAAAATTCATCTAATTCTGAGGCTGCCATGTGAGTGCTAAAGCATGGATGGGGAACAGAAAAACAGTTCAAAAATTATGAAGACCTAAAACTGCAGTACAGACAAAGTACTGAACTTACATAGAATGTATAGTAAAGCAAACTACTTTCTGCTATAGTTACCCAACAGCATAAACAATTGTTCTGATTGAGCAATAACCATCTTCTACCCAACTGCACATACACTTTGTGGTGCATGGATGCAAAAAGAAAGTTAATTTTGAACCAACTCAATACTTGGCTACCCATCACTGAAAATGCATAATATCACACTGGCTTCCTAATTGTAAGTACAGTACAAGCACAGATACAACAGTAGGAAACAGTGACATATAAAAGGCACAAATATTCAGCCTGGGTGAATGTGTAATCTAGATACATAACCATTAAGAACAGAGTGAAATACAACAGATAAAATTGATAAACAAAATAGAATTTGGCATATATGGACTTTTGGAAGGCAGAAATTCAATTAGAGGAACAGACTGAAAGAGAGCAGAACATTTGAGTGAGATTCTGGAAGCTAAAATATTTTTAGTTTTAACAGAAGTTAAGTCAATAACTATGACCAAGTTGCTATTCTGTCTACATCAGCCTCCATGTCCATGGAATATCTATAATGATGTTTTTCTTAAATAGCATTTTTATGCCTAGATCTTAAAGCACTTAAAGGACACCTACTTCAAAAGAAGGCTATTTTAAGAGTGAACACAAGACAGTAGGCCAAACATAGATGGTTAATGGAGCAAGACAGGATTGAGAACGTAGACACAGTAGCTCAGAATGACAAGTTGAAGATGATGAAACAGAAAAAGTCGGAAAAAATCCTGAGATGTAGCTCTGAGAAAGCAAATGAGGAGCTTAAACCTTTGTTACATAATGAGTTCTTAAAATGCAGTCTTGTCAAATAGACACATGATTTATATGAAAAGTAAATGCATTCCCAAGGTTTGCAGGAAAGAGAGGAAAAAAATTAAAGAAAAGTCATAGACTGAGTGAATCGGCAACTTATTTTTAGAACATGTTTGCGTCTTGTTCAAATTTAACCTAAGTCATTAACTAAGACAACCATTTCACAGTTCTGCAGCTTTTCAAGATGAATTTGTGATTAATCTGTGTTGCAAGGGACAGACATCTCTCTCAAAAAACTTTACTAGGTACTCACAGTGGCAGAATATGTGGGGATGGAAAGGACCAAAAGAACAACTATTATTTTTATTTCCAGGGTATCATTAAGGCACATGGATACAGTAATATAAGAAAGCTAAATTTGCTGTATAATTTAAACAGTGAAAGATTCTGGCCTCTGGAGGCTTTGGGCACAGAAACACAAGATTCACCCTCAAATGGAGAAATTTCAGGAAGGAAAGATAACTATCACTAAAAATTTTCAAGTCTTGAAAACCACCATGCCATAAAGTCATCCTAGCGCTTATTAAGTAATGAACTTGAATTGTTACGTCAGGAATGGCGTTTGATTGTAATAAGAGTTCTCAAATTCTTAGAGGACACACTTCAAAATTACATAGTGAAAGAGAGAAATTAAAAATAGAACCACTTACCTGGATATATCAAATCTGGTTTCATTTCTAACAACCTTTTCAAAGTTTTCATGTAATCATACAGGTCTTCTATTACTGTTGTTCCTTCCCCTAAAATACAGTCACCGGAAAATACAGCATTTTCTTCTTCTAGATGTAAAATCATGTGATCATCAGTGTGTCCTGGTGTATATAAAACTCTGTTTAAGGAACAACAACAAAAAAGCATAAGTTTTTCATACAGCAAATATGCTTCATTTTTGAAGCAAGAACAAATAATAATAAAACCACACACTTACAAAGCAGCCCACAAGAATCAGAAAAAAACTGACCAAAAAAAGGCTGAAAAGTTGATATAACCAGGGTATCACTTTGTCTAATCCCAGTCCATTTCCTTATACCAGGTAGAGAACACAGATCATCATCTCTAACTTTACTTACTGACATGCTTTTACTTACATGACACATCATAATACAAGTGCATTAAGGGAGCTGACTAGCCGTGTACAATTTCTGTTTTAGAGGGCTTTACTCTGAAGCTTTCAAAAAGAAAGATTCAAATATTATTTCCAAATTGAAAAGCGTGACATTCTTGACATACACCTTGTACTTAGCAATAAGGTTAATGATGATGTCTATTCCTTTAGAAATTAATTCTAAACTTCTAAACCTGACCCAGATAAAGTTAAATCTCTCAAAATTTATTTTTCCCTGAAAGCCCCATGGCACAGAGGAGCAGAGCCATCAAATACAAAGAACCATGGTCTTTTAGCTGTTCTATGTGCAGGTCATTAAACATCTGAATGGTAATGATTAAGGACCCACATCTTGAATCAGCACTGCATTAGCAGGCCACAAAGGGACAGTAGATATGCGTGTATATATGGTAACCTGAGCTGCCAAGGAGCTGCACTGTGGTGTTCTTTCACTAGGATTTCTGAAAGGCAGAAGGCCTTACGTTGAGGCTGATGCAGACAGAGTAACACAGCTTGGATCAGCATCACTGCTGAAATTGAGCACAATCCTCCTGTTAATGGCAGATGCATCAAAGCAGCGATCAGGAACTGACAGAGCTGGTGCCAAGCGCGGCGTACAGGGAAAGGCTAAACAGCTCCCAGCCAGCGCTGGGAGACCACAAGTGCAGCACCATCCAACACAATGACTTCCAGCTCTTACTGAATACTGAGCTCAGAAGGAAGCAGGTGAGCCATCACCCTATGGAAGCAACATCAAAATCAAGATGATGGGTTGTATCTTGCCTTTGCGGGAAGTGTTATCCTCCAGTTCTTGACGAAACTTTACCAGGAAACCACTAACATGGAAAAACAACAGAAAATGAACCCAGCACTGCCTGGCTCACCTTGAAAACTTGAGGGTTGCTAACTAAAATTTAACATGCAGATACTGCTATCTTGGAACCAGTGGTGGATCTGAGAGTATCCTTAAAGAGCTTACCTGCTTTTAACCAAGCATAACGTTTGGATGCATTACCCCTGTCATGACTCCATAGGGGCTGTGATGTCTATTATAAATTCTCACCAGGCTGAACAAGGACACCAGAGCACATGACAGGGAACTCCTGTGCGTAGTGGATAACTCTGGGAACTAGTCCACTATTTAGTCCCAGAAGTGTTGGCTAACAACCCCTTAACTTTGACAACACACTTAAGCTCCCAGTCCTCACAACAAACTTCTTAAAGGTGTTGGCTAACTAGCCCTGTATTTTTACAACACACTACAACAAGCTCCCAACTCCCACAACAGCACAGCCAGCCTGTTTGAGCCCTCCAGGAAGTGAGCTGGGGTGGGGGACTGATGCAGGCATGAGTCTGAAGGCAGAAAAGGAAGTTGGCTCAGAACTGCCTCAGTGCTGCCCCAATTCTATGGGATCCTCTCTGCCAATCACAACTTTCTTGTCATGACAGTCATAATGTTTGAGACAAAACATGCTTAGGCCTGGTCCTCCACCACCTCAAACTTCAAAATGTACCTCTCTTGTCTTACTAGGATTGAAATTTAAAAAGTCAGTTTACATCTTTAAATTTTTGTCCAAACATGGGCCACTTAGGGAAGTGAAAGGTCTTCAACATGCAATATAATACTCTTTTTTTTAAATTTTTTTTTACACTAACAAAATAAAATGCTTTTGGACAAATATGTCCTAAAAATACCCTTTTTTTTTTTTTTAATGTGGCTTTTTTTTTTTCTTCCAATCAACCAACTGACATTCTGCAAGTTGGGATATAATTCCCAGCTAAACTGAGTAAAACAAGCAAACTTTGTCCTTAGAAGCATAATGCCTTGTTAATGAAAGGAGCCCAAAAAGAGAACGATCAGACCTTTTTGTTGTGTGTGTGATTCCATGAGGCAGAGTGGCTTTCTGTTTCACACTCATTCAAACTGACATTACAGGCAATATACTCCCTGGGAAGAATTTCTCCCAGACTGGCACCCTACAAGAACCTGATAGGTTCAAGGTTTAAAATTTAACATTTTAAGTATTAAATGTTTTAGTGTCTCCTTGGGAAATATTTTTAAAGTAAAGAGAAAGGCATGCTAAATAATCCATCCAGACTACCATACACTTTCACAAAAGTATCAATTTTAATAGTAACTACTTATGTAAGAGTGATAAGAAAGTATGTAAAATTTTATTTGATTTTCCCGAAGAAAATATTTTTCTAGGGAAATGTTCCTAATTTCTCTTCTGAGTCCAAAGACTAAAGGCTAATTCCTGATAATTCTTATTCATAAAACCGATTTCTTTGTATTAACGTACCTGCTGGATTATGATAGGAAGTCCACATACATAAGTGCTGAAAAGACTCGATGTATGGGTTTGCAGTCATAGAAATTAGGATACATGTACGTGTCAGAATTCTGAAGAAAAAAGAACTTGCAGAAATTGGTGTTTACCTGAGTGTGGCTCCCTCTGTCTGTATCACATCACCCTCTTTAAGATAAGAATATTTATGTCCTCCTTCTATTGTTTCTTCACAGTGAGGGACACGAGGGAGCTTACAGATGCGATATCCTGAGTCTGATACTTAAAGAAAGTAAAGAAATTGATGTTTGGAATTTGTCACTAACAAAGCTAATTCCACAGAAAGGTTACTTTTTTAATGAGTACTATTAATTATCACACACTACGAATATAAAACTAGAAACAATAAATTCTGTATAGTAACTTTATGTTTGTAAAGAATAGAGAAAACCACTGATTTTGAATACTGTACTCTGTACCAGCAACAAATTAGAAGATGAAAAAAAATCAGAAATGAAATTAAAATATCAGTAGTTATAATACTTTACAAATATTCCTTCTTGAGTCAAGAGCCACCCTGCATAAACTTTTACAACACCACTGAGATTTCTGCACTCGCATTCTCATTATGATTCAGAGAAGCATCATTCAACATTTGCCTAAAACTGGAGACTTTTTTGAGCTGCAACTTCCCTTAGCTTTTATTGTTCTGAACTGTGCATGCCTTGGCTGGAACAGCTACGGATAAGAACCCAGAAAGGCATTTATATTCCTTGCTAGTCTTTACAACCACACTCATGGGTTGACAAGCCCAAGAGGATTCAACTACTGTTTTCAGTAGTGCCCAGGCTTCTTTGCAGAAAAGTACCTAGCAGTTTTACAAAATAAAGCCTGTGACAAAGTTCATTATAAAGTTCAACAATGTTAAGAATTACTGCATTATCCATAGTGCTTATTCTCTTCCCAGGTACCAAAGCAGAAATGTCTTCTACTGTTTATCAATACGAAATACACATTTTTAGATCAGAATTTACCTGTGGACTGCCCTACCACTTTCCCCTCATGATCTGAGGCCTATGAATTTGTCAGCAATTATTAGTGGGCTCCTGTAGGAATCTCAAAGTTATGCATGTTTCTTTTTCAAAATTCAAGTTATTTGTTTTTACATAAGTGAAAATAACAATCAATTTGTCACTGCAGTCAATGTGAAAAGGAAGGATTATCAAGTTTTTCTCACATCACTTAATACCATATAAACTGCTGATGGTAATCTAAGTTCTCATTATTCACACATAAGAAAAAATCACTACGAAGGTATGCACAGGCATTGAAGAAAAACGGTAGTACTACAAGTAAAATATTCAGATTATTCATTGCTCTCATTCAATACACTGCAACAGTATCATGAAATTACATGTATCTTATATGAAGATTCCAGAAGAATAATCCAGCTGATTTGCACAGAAGCATTCAGTTAATGTTTTTTAGTTGCCACGCATCTAACATTTTCAATGTTATTATGAAATGAGATTTCAATATCTGAAACCTCTGGCCTACCATTCGGGATGTTTTTGCAGATATCAGGTATTCCACCAGTATGATCACGATGCCAGTGTGTCACTAAAATTTCTTGAATAGAGACATTGAACTCTGACAGTGCCTGCTTTAAACAGCTGATATATTCAGGAATAGCTGGCTCTCCGGTGTCAATAAGGACTCTTCTACACACGGACAAAAAAAGGGAGGGATATACAAACAGCAGAGAATTAAGAGTGTTCATCTGAAACACAAATAATAATAAAAGAAGACAACATTGCATGGAAATGTGGCAATAATTAATGTCTCCATATCCAGACGCCATCTCTTTCTTCCCGATATGCCAACCTCGTGTCAAGACAATTTAAAAAGTGAGATAAACAATAAACATAGCCCACACATTTACAACTCCGAGACAAGTAGCAGGAACCATCGTTTAGTACTGCCGGGGAGCTGCGCGGCCTGAGGCTCCCACCCGCTTCCCTCAGGGAATTCCAGGCCTCCGCCCAAGAGTCGCACGGCCGAGGCCCCACACCCCACCTGTCCAAACCACCTCCGGGCACCGGCTCCGAAAATTTAACGCTTTAGTGTTTCTTTCCTCTTTCTCACCCTAATTAAGGGACTTGTGAACAGGCCGGCAGCCACCTCTCGCTCCAGAGGCAGCGCACAGCCCCGCGGCGGGGCAGGGAAAGCGACCGGGGGCTGGGGAAAGAGAGGCGACCTCCGCCGCCACGTCCCCTTCTCCCTGCCCCGTTCCCCAGCAGGGTCGGTACCTGTGCCCGGTGCCCACAAGGTAGGTGTTGGTGCCCTGCAGAGTCATGGGCCCCGGGTTGCAGCCCAGCACCCGCACCACCCGCGACGAGAGCCGCTCGATGCGCGGCAGCAGCGACACCATCCTCGCAGCCAATCCTCCCGAATTCCCAGCTCCCCTCCCCTCCCAACGCCAGCGGGCTGGAAGGCGGAAGCCTGTATTCCCCGTGCTCCGCCTCCCGGTGCCCGATCGCGGCGCCTTCCGCCCGGCTCTGTGGCGAACCGGCCGTCAGGCGGCTCCTCCCGGCCCGCGGCCAAGGCGGGGCGGCCTCCGGTCTTCGCGTGAACCTCGGCCTCTGCCAACGAACGCCATGGTGATCCACTGGGATAAAGTTATCCCTCGTGGAGAACAGTTCTCAGTAGAATTCAGTCCTCCTTTTCCGGGTCGGTGCCTCGCTGCTGCTCAGTGAGAGGCAGGTCCAGGCTCTGCAGGATTCTTCCGGAGCAATTTGTTGTAGGGACAGCTGCACCTTCTCAATATTCCAGGAACGTGCCTACTTACAGAGTATGTAGGAGCTATATATGCTCCTGTATGGTATATAGGAGCAATTTAGGATTTAGCATTTTAAAAAAAAATGGAGAGCTACTGGAGAGTGTCCAGTGAAGGGCCAGTAAAATGATGAAGGGACTGGAGCATCTCGTCTGTTAGGAAAGGGTGAGAGAGCTGGGACTGTCCAGCCTGCAGAACAGGCCCAGGAAAATCTCGTCAGTGTATATAAAAACATAAAGGGAGGGTGCATAGGGGACAGAGCCAGGCTCTGTCACAGGGCCATTGCTGTCTGTCCTGTCATGGTGCCCAGTGCCAGAACCAGAGGCGATAGGGCACAACCCAAAACACAGGATGTTCCTTTTGAACATCAGGAAACGCTTTTTTACTGTGAGCGTGACCAGGAGCTGGCACAGGTTGCCCAAGGGGGTTGTGGAGTCTCCATTCTGGGAGATACTCAAAAGTCATCTGGACATGGTCCAGGGCAACTGGCTCTAGGTGGCTCTGCTGGAGCAGTGGCTTGGACCAGATGACCTCCAGTGATCTCACCTCAGCCATTCTGTGATTTTGTGAAATTTTCTCACTGTCAGGTAGTAATACTGTGTTTGTAAACAGCATTCGTTCTAGAGTCTGCAAGGTGCTGAAATTCACCTGTTTGGCTTTGCAGTGTCCCTTCTGAAACCCCCAATTATTTGCCTTTCAATTGACATCGTTAAAGAAATTAGGGCAGACTTGTTCTCTCCTTAAACCACCTTTAAATGAAGAATAAACATAATTTAACCTGAAATAAAAGCAGGTAATATTATTACGGGAACTTTACCAATATTAGAATTTCAAATATTATCTAATTGTTTTATATCTATATTAGATCCCATATGTTACTGATAACAAATAAATGTAAATTTCTAAGATGATCATAACAATACAAAGAACAAAAAGTGTTTGGTGGTAGCATAGTTTTTTCTTAAATGTTCTTTTCATTATGTGAAAATGAAAAGAGGTGCAACTCTTATGTGTGATCTAGAGCCATTTCTAGGATTTGCATGGGAAAACAGAACAGATTCTCACTGTCTTCTGAAGGGACAGAAATCACCAAACATAATCTTGATAGGCGAAGTTCCAAAAGACTTATTAGAAACAAAAAACTCAGTGTGCAGCATGGAACTGGAAAACAAAATTTTGTGGCTTCAACAGAACTTTGTAACTTCATGAAAATTCAAAGTTTAATTTTTTTTTAAATGTACTTAAATGCTATCGTAGGCAAGTAATACATGCAATACGTGCCAGGAGATGTGCTATTAAAAGCTTCAGATACTAACAAATGTCTGCATCTTGCCATGCATGACAAACTGGTGTTCTCCACTCTAACATTGTGTCTCTTTCCTCCTTCCCGTGCTGGGAGCTGGTTCTCAGTTTGGCACAGATCCACCTGATGCCTTTGGCTTCCTGGGCAGTGTGAGGCAGGGGATGGCACAAGGCAGGGAGGCAGCTCTGAGGTAGGTCCTGCTGCCTACCTAGCCATGCTGCACTTGCTGGTGTCGGCTCACAGCTCAGATTTTCAGCTAGCCTCAAAGGTCAGAGAACAAATGGTGCCTTTCAGCTGCTTGGCCAGACAGCAGTGATGCACCTTCACTGTCCAGAGACCAACAGCAATCTTGCTTCTAGGCTGTGTCTTCAGTGCTAATTTAGCTACATTTAAAATGCTTGCTAACCCGTCAGCTGCACTACCTTGCAGTCACCCATGCAGCCAAATAGCTTGCCTCATGATGCACAAGTGACTTGCCAGGCAGTACCTTATGCAGGCCTATATCATGCAGTAATTATAAAAATTTACTCCTGGACATGGACTTCAATTGCAGCTGTTAATTGGTTGGCATCACAAAAGCCACAGACAGAAAATGTGCCGCTGATGCTGATAATCCCTTTATTTAGGCCTTCAAGACAATTTCTTTGATTTATATCATAAACATTCACTTATTTGAGATTTAGGATATCTATTTACTTATTTGAGATATAAACCCATCGCATTTATTTTTTATTTTCAAGCTCATTAAAGCATGAACTACAGACCACAGAAAGGATGTTTCAGGTCAAAGGAAAGAAGCCTTTTTGTGTGCAGGTGTGCTGCTGAAGTAAGCAAGAAAACCCTATACAAAATATTCCAGTCTTGTCCGATATCATTTACCTCTATATTGTTTTATAAGCAACTGTGACTAGACTCGAATTTACCTAATCCTGTGGTGCCCTATTGTGCTTAATTTGTAGCTATTTGTTGGTACATTCAACCCGTTTTCAGTCTTTAGTTGCTGTGTCATTAGAAGAAGTTACTACCTAAGCCAAGGCAAATTGTGTATTTAAGTGGTTTTCTACTTTTAAGACAATTCTGAGTGTTTAGAGAAGGTTTCTGAAATTATTTATCTGAATTTTACATGTTGTTGATTACTCAGAAGTAGTAAGGTGCCAGTTAACATCACAAGACTTTTTTTTTTTTTTTCCAAATTAAGAATTGTTTGGGGATCTCTACACTTGTTCCCCGGGGAATACTTACTACTGTAACTGTCCTGCAGTAAAGCATTTTCTCATGTTAGGCAGGAGCTATGAATCTGTTTCATCTGTAGGTGGCAGCAATGGTACCTTTGGAAAACGAAGTACAAGTCCTATTATTTTCATTTCCTGCACAAGCCCATCTTTTTAAAAAGTCTGTTGTTTCTCTTCAAATACAGAAATTAATAGGCATGTAGTGAAAATCTTACTATTATGCTCTAATGTGGTACAAGAAATATGAATGTATATCCTGAAGTTCTTTTAGCTCTCTCTTTTGTTTTACATTGTTAAGACAAAATTTTGAGGCAAAAAGATGTTCTGCAGTAGATAGTGTTAGACTACCAGTAAAAAAAGAAAAAAAAGCTGAGTTTCAATAAACCTAAAAAGAGATTGTTGGTAATATACAATGTGATGTATCATGGAAGATTAATTTTGTAACAACTATGAGACACAGATTGGTATTTCTGAAAATCCCACATGTCACTGTTTGAATTTTTAGCATTCAAGAAATCTTTGAGTACTGGCACTTGGCTTTCTTCCACATTTTAGCTGTAAATGTTGAGGATAAATGCCTCTCCACTGTGGCTGTGTAATAGCTTAATAGAACTAAGCACAAGCATGTAAATCTGTAGTAGTTAGACAGAATCAACTGAATAGTAGATAGAAAATGTCTTGACGGACTTATCTTCATAGACATTGGTACATGTAAGTCTTGTTGAGAGGATTTTTAGTTGGTAGATTTTGAAGTTATTTTGATGCAATTATAGATGCTATTTATAAAAGTAAGATATGCATATATTTCTTGGTACTTGCAGAATATTTCTTTCTTTATGCTTTTTATCTGGTACAGAGATAAGTAAAGAGACCTTAAATGAAACAGAAGTGAAGAAGATTTTGCACAGAGGAAGGCCATGGGGTACAAGATTCCTGCATTAAGAGGCAACATTGTGTAGAAAATGTAAAAAGTCAGATCAGCATATTTATGGGAGATGATTAGAGGCAATGTTGAAGGGACTGGGACATCTCTGTAATGAGGAAAGGCTGAGGGAGCTGTGACTGTCCAGCCTGGAGGAGAGAAGGCTCAGGGGTTCTCATCAGTGCCTATAAATACCTGAAGGGTAGATGCAAAGAGAATGGAGTCAGGCTCTTTTCAGTGGTGCCCAGTGCCAGGACCAGAGCCAATGGGCACAAACTGCTCACAGGAGGTTCCTTCTGAACATCAGGAAACACTTCTTCAGCGTGAGGGTGACCAAGTGCTACACGGGTTACTCAGGGAGATTGTGTATTGTCCATCCTTGGAGGTATTAACAAACCGTCTGGACACAGTCCTGGGCAGCCTGTTGTAGGTGGCCCTGCTTGAGCAGGGGGGTTGGACCAGATGACCTCCAGCAGTCCCTTCCCACCTCAGCTGATCTGTGACTTTGTAAGGTTCTCCTAAAAACCTGTATGTTAATGCTGCTCAGAACATAAATACTTTTGGGTTCCCTGGGCAGGTGACCAGGAGTTCTGCTGTAGCAGGGTACCAGGAAGCTGTGATGATAGAAAACTGCTGGCAGCTTGTACAACTATACAGGAATAATTCATGAAGAAGCAGGGGAATCTATTACACTGAGATGAAGTCATCAACCAATACATTCTTTCAAGCTATGCATTTTCTCGGGTAACTTCCCTTAATATCAATGGCAAAATCACTCCTTGACTGCAAAGAAAGTATCAAAAGTAAAGACACACAATAAATCTTCAGAAATTTTTTAGGTCAGCATTTCATCCTGTGTATTTCTATGCTTATCCCAGTGAGGACCTTGGTTTCCAATGTCTGAAATAATTCAAAGATAAAATGTTCTATGTCCTGTTAACACTAATCAAAGCAGGGAGAAAAGGTCCTTCCTACCCCATTTGGAACCAAATAAAAGGATGTGTACTGAATACCAGAGGAGATCTGTCACAATTTAGAAATGTGCTTGCTTTGATGCCAAGTCTAACTAGAGAACAAATTAATTATCCAGTCTGTAATTTAGCTTATGAACTGCTTGATTTACACTCCATGAATCAGATACACAAACCTTGCCTCTCTCTCTGTTGAGACAGACAGAGTTTCTGTCATTTTTAAATTATAACAAAGGTCACAACAGTGAATTTGTGATCTGGCTGATTTAAATCTGTAGCTTAGTTATTATTTGCTTGGAAAGCCTATTACAAATTTTAAAAAGCTGTGGTGGAGCCAAAAGAATTTAAAACTATATACCAAATGCAGTATATAATGTATGTATTGCTCTGCTGCTAAATTATGTATATTTTTATAATTCAAGGAGAGCATATCAGATGACTAACATCTTTCATTCAGAAAAGAATGATATTAATAATTGACTAAGATCAATAGAGATTTTATAGGGTTTAAAAGCAACCTATGTTGTACTGGAGAGCAGGTGCTTTTCAAATTTGGCCCAGATCCAAAGAGAGGGACAGTCTTGGTAAAAGCTGCTAATTGTAAATGGTCTAGTCCAGTCAGTTTGCCACTGTCCCATCTTGTCTGCAGCTACTCTTGTAATCTCATCCATCAAGGTTCCAGTGAAGTGAATGTTGTGAAGAACCAGTGGCCAAGTCCATTCCAATGGATGTTCTGCAAGTGGAACAGTCAAGTCAGGAGTTCATGGCTAGGCTTCGCGAACGAAGATTTGGGAAGGGCTCTACCCACGTTTTTTGCAAGAGCGTTGGTGGCTAAAAAGGCCAATACGAGATAGGCATGTCCAGTTGCAAAAGGCACAGCAGAAAGACTCCTTAGGTGGTATATTCTGCAAGGCTCGATTCTTTCTGCGTTGTCTTTTCTCCTCAAGGTTGATCCTGCGTGCTTTCTCAAAAGCATCAGCAGCGTTATAGATGGTGTGTCTCCAGGCCTCCTGATTGGAGGCCAGAGGAGACCAGAGTCAGGAGTAAGCAAGACAGGATTGGCATAGTGAAACTATTTTGTTTTTCTTTGCAAATATTATGGAGATTTATGTTGGTGTCAGATGTTCAATTTGCTGCAAAAGCACGCAGTAGCCTAATCTGAGTTTAAAAGAAATATTGTTCCCAAAAGCAATATTCTGACAGAATGCTTGTATTCATTTGGCCATTTATGGGACAGAACAGGTGTCATTGTAGTTGCGGAGCTGCTTCTTCTCTGACATCCCTGGGATTTTATTGTGGAGCAATATACAACTACATTTTTAATTAGTGAATTCATGTTGCTCACAGCCATTACAAAGAGCTTGTTGGGCATGCACACAGTAGGCCTGTTATCTTTGAATCATCCCCAAGATGATTCTGCACAGGCAGAAAGGCCTCTGCTGTGTTTATTCAGAAGGCCGTTATGGCCCCACAGATGTGCTAAGGTGTTTTCCCAGTGTGTTGTCTCACTGGAATGAACCATGGGCAATTGAACCAGGAATAATGCAGTACTGTTTTGGCTTCAGGCACTGGGTTTTTTAGCTTTGGAAAAGTCACTTGATCTGTTGATTCTGTTCTTTGGGTGATGACATGAAAATAATGGTATTTCAAGCACTGCAAGGACTGCTTAGGAGTAGGATGTTTCTGACCTATAAGGGGGAAGCAGGAAGTTGGACAAGAAAAGGCAAGCATTGATATTATGTTTGCTATGAAGATAGGATTGTACCTCCTGTCCTCCTAGTCTAGAGCTATAAAAGCTATAGACTGCTCTGGCTGAGGGTGTGCATCATCATATGCAGCACAGTCATTGAGGCAGAATCACAACACTTGCACCTTGTACCCTGCAGCTATTTTAAACATGAATAAAAATTTCATGTTGAGTGCCAAGAGCTCAGCTGGAGCAGACTTGTGCAAACACCTGTAGTTTCACTAGAGAAAAACAATTTTAATCATTTGTCCTTGGAGATGTGCAGACTCTTCATGTATCATTGCACAGAAAAGCTTTTTGTACATTTTTTTAAAGTGCATTGTACTACAGCTTTTAACTATAGCAAAAAAATGTGCTTCTTTTTTTTAATTTTTATAGATTAAACTTAATTTATTGAAGGAATTTTATAATCTGTTAAGCTTAATATTAACTATAGACAGGGACTTCTAAAGTTTTTAAAATAGAATTTTTAGAATATATTCTTAAGAATGACAGTTCTTTACAGGTAGCAAATCATTAACTGTGTCACATGGTTTCCATATGAATTTAGTTTCACTTTGTGTTATATCAGTAAGCCCTTTAACATTCTTTGGATTGCAAGTCTTGTAAAGGTATGGATGGGAAACCTGCAAATATGCAAATCTACGATTTTTGAACTGAAAAAAACTCTATCCATGGCCAGTATTCAGGTAACCCTGCATTCTTTAATAGAATTTTAAATGTATAGTGAGAAAGGAAGGATTTTTCTAATCACATTTTATTGTTTCTGCTTTATTACAAAATGATTCTGTAAAAGTATTTTAGTTTTTAGAGCAGTTACATTTATGCTGACTGCCAGTCACTTTACTCTTCTTGCTCCTGTCATGTTAGATCTCATATGTTTAATAAGACTGGGGACAATATAGTTCTGAGTGATACAAGACACTCTCTCCTGTGACACTTAATTGAACCCCACCTTGTACATGAGACCATGATGCTCTTTGGAGTGCTATCATGCATAAAATATAGGGGATATTAAAGGCTGAGATCTTCAACAGAGATTTCATCTGAAAGCAGGTGCACCTGTGAGCAGGCATTGGTGCTTGCACTTGGAACTGACACTGGACATTTGTCAATACAGATTTGTGAGTCTCTGGTAGCAATTTTTAGGTTGCCGTGAGCAAAATGTAAATCCTGTGTCTTACCAGCCATTCCAAGGCTCTTTCAAGACTAGATTCCTTATTCAAGATAATTATGAGACAGTAAGCAAGCTGCCATGCCTGGTGTGGCTCTTCATTTATCTTAGCCATCTTACCTGATGGCTTCATATTACCACCAAGATGTCCAGATAGGTCTGCAGACTGCTGGTGTGGCAGCAGTTTGGACAGTAGGCTTGTCAGAGGTAGAAATCACCTGGCTCACAGCTACTTTTCTTGCTGTTGTTTCAGAGGAGTCTAGACATAGCCTATAAAACTTTCTTTTTTATATTCCTCTTTGTGAAGTGCTCAGATACAAAAGGGTGGGGAGGCTGTAAAGAGAGATGAATCTAGTTACCTTTTTTATTTATTTCAGGTGCAAAATTAGAGGCTAATCCTTGCCACTGGAATGTCTAGTACAGTATTACTCATTAAATGTGAACCTTGATATACTGCCTATTTTGGCCGTAAATTGCCTTCCAAAGAACTTTCTGTTTGAATCCAGTTATTGACTAACTAACCTTTTGCTGTTGTGCTTCCTGCAGCAGTCAGATAATGGACCTGATCAGGGATTTTTTGTTTTCTTTGTTTTGGTTTTATAGTTGGTTTTGGTTTTAATCAGTTCTAAAAGCAATGCATAATGTTCTTGTTCCAAAAAAGGGTACAGCTTGACAAAGGTGGTATGTCAACTTGCAGAATGATATGATGTTATATAGAGTAAATACCGTTTCCTTTGGAATTTTCATTAATGAACAGTAGCAATAAATTCTTGTTGGTTCCTATACAAGTTTTCAGATATAAAACATTTCAAAGAATCACAGAACAGCTGGGGTTGGATAAGACCTCTGGAGATCATCTAGTCCGACCTCCCTGTTAAAGTAGGTTCACCTGGAGCAGGTTGCACAGAATTGCATCTAGACGGGTTTTGAATATTTCCATAGAAGGACATTCCACAACCTCTCTGGACAGTCTGTTTTAGTGGTTTTTCACCCTTAAAGTCAAGTCTTACCTTATATTCAAATGGAATTTCCAGTGTTTCTGCTTGTGCTTGTTGATCCTTGTCCTGTTGCTGGGCACCACTGAAAAGAGCCTAGCTTCATCCTCTTGACACCTGGCATTAAGATATTTGTATGCATTAACAAGATCCCCTCTCAGTTCTCTCTTCTCCAGCCTGAACAAGCCCAACTCCCTCAGTTGTTCCTCCTGAAAGAGTTGCTACAGGCCCCTAATCATCTTCATAACCCTCTGCTGGACCCTCTCCAGTAGTTCCTTGTCATTGTTGAACTGGGGAGCTCAGAACTGGACTCAGTACTGCAGAAGCAGCCTCACCAAGGCAGAGTAGAAGGGTAGAATAACCTGCCTCAACCTGCTGGCCACACTCTTTGTAGTGCACCCCAGGATGCCATTGGCCACCTTGGCCACACAGACACATTGCTGGCTCATGGATAACTTGTCTGTTTGTGTTTGTAAACACAAAGTTTAGTTTATGTTGGACTTTGTAGTGAAGTCCACTTCCCAGCATCTAAATGTGAATTGGATATGAATTGCGTTAGCAATTTGAAAGACATTAGTGGTATTTTACTGTAGGGGGTAGGAAAGAACAGTGTAAGTATTCCAACTGTCCCAGCTGAAAGATCGCCTGGACCAGGACATGAAACCTAAGCAGGATATAGAATGAGAGGCTAGAAAAAGCTAAGGCCTAGATCAAAAAAAATAGTGTTTACACATTCAGCACCTTTTCAGGCTGTTATGTTCCCACTTGTCTTTATTAGGAAATTAAGAGCTTTAATTTTCTTTTTTGGGTTTGTACCTGGGTCACAGCATAGACAAGCCCAGTCAACACAAGCAAAGAATAGTCATTACCTTTGTTCATGAGTTATTAACCAATTCTCTCATTTCATTCCTCTGTGGCAGTGTGCCTGAATTCACAAAAATCCAAAGGGACCTGCCTACACATGCTCTTCTCCTGCTCCAAGATCCCTGGCGCAGCTGTTCCCCATGTGTTGTCTGCTGCTGTTTGGCACTGGCACCACCCCAAACCCAGTGGGGTTGCCATTTTCTGTATCCCATCCTTTGTTTGCTGCCAGCATCTTTTTCCTAAGATATGTAAATGAAATAAGGGATTTTGTCATTTTAATTTTCTAGCTTTGCACACTTGGACATGAACGAGACAAAGAATGTACTGCCATATAGCTTTTCTGTTTCACCTGGCAAATACCAAAGATCTACAGAGGAAAAACATGTAAGGACTACCCAAAGAAGTCACAAGAATCCTTACAGTGTTGGGCAGTGTAAATGTAGTTCAAACTGTGAATTAATTCTATTCATAGTGGACTATGTAGTTAGATCCTCTGCATGTAGCTACTTCTCACACAGCTTGGGAGGCAATTCTCAAAGAGGTGTAGACTGGTGCAGGTCAGGTCATTACAAGCCTCTTTAACAGAAGAGCTGCAATCCTATTCAGCACTTTCTTGCTGCATGTGGAAAACCAAACAGGAATGATAAAACCGCTAGATGTATGCACACAAATGCGGTAACACAGTTGGAAATTGCAGAATGATGTGTAGTCTGATACAATTGTGTGTACTCAAGACAGAAGTTTTCTTGATGTTTTGTGCTGTGTACAGTAAAGGAGAAGAGCTCAGAAGTTAAGAAAGTTCTGGAAAGGTATCAATCTTTTCCCCATAAACGGCTTTTAAAAACTTGCTTGTTTCTTAGTGTTTTGCAACTGTTAGGAATTACCTCAGCAGCTGCCTGAGTGGAGAATCACTGGTTGGGAGAGTGACCTCAGCAGGTTCAGAAATGCACCTCTCTTGGCTTGATTTTCACTGATATCTCATTACATGCTGCATTTTGTACTTGCCTATTTAAATGGTTGTGAGAATTTGAAGAATTTGTTGTATGATACTTTAAATGAGGGAGATATTGCTACTGCTAATCTTCCTTTTTTCTTCTTGTTTTTAGGAACCACTAATGAAGAATGACTCCACCAATTAAAAAGACAATTTACATTTATCTTTTCCAGAATAGATATGTATCAAGGAAGTAATTTAATATTTAGATCAAGAACATAGAAAAATGCAAGTCCCTTTGCCATAATAAAAATGCATAACTCAGCTTTCCTTTGTATAGAGCCCTATGAGCAGGTGGTATCATCAGTAAAAAGACTCTATTGTAGTAAAGCATTTGGATTCCTTTACGTGAAGTGAGGAGAGAATGATAAGTGGCAGTCTGACACATGATGAAATTTACTAAGCAGAATTTTTTTTTTTTAGTTGGCGGAATTATAATTTATGTAGTTGATATTGGAGTGGACTTTTGGGTAGCTAGTAAATATTTCTGTCAAGGACAATATTCTTGGAGTATATTGATACTGTGTTTTAGAGGTCTTTCATCATTAGTAACTCAGATATTTAGTTATGAATGGTTTAAAAATGACTGGGAAGGTACTGATACTGGGAAGTTGAAATGGATTTTTCTAGTTCATCTCTTTCACTGTGGAATTTTTATAAGGTACGTAAACCTCTAAATTTATCTTAAAATGAGAAATCATATTCCTTTAAGACAGTTATTAAGAAATGCTTAGTGTGGCTTCAGGGACAAGACCAGTTTTGGCCTTAACAATTACTATGAAAGCAAGTGGATTTTTGTCTGCTTATGCCAGGGTAAATTTTATCGGGTTTTGATGTACCTGTAGATCTTCTTTTATTTACTTGTAAGTAGTAATTTTTATCATTCACAACCCAATTCTGTTTGATTAATCAGCCTTTTGACAAGGCATATGTAATAAAACTGCTTGCTTTATAGTGTAGTACTGTTGTAACTGATAAATATAAGTTTTCAAAGTGATGTTATGCACACTAAACAGCTGAGACAGCTGAAGTAAAAGGTAATTTTTGAATCTGAGAATCTAACCATATGTAGAAAAACAACCAAAATTCAATAGAGAAATGAATAGCTGAATATAAGAACACTTGCAGCAGTACTTCTGCAGGGACTGAGTTAATTGTGATACGAATCTTTGCTTAGCTCTAAGGTAATCCACAAAACTCTTGGACTTACCTGAACTCATACCCTTTCCTGAATGAATACCTCTTACCATGAATTTCTATAACTTTTGAATCTTCTTTCCCAGAATTAGCTCCATCTTCTCTGAGTGGCTTATTACGTAGCAAACATTATTTTGTCCTTTGCACTGACAGTGTTGTCTACTTGATCGCCTATTCTTTGTTGCACAAATGATATTTTCTCCTATGCTGCCACTTACACCTGGAAAACTTCCAAGATGATACATATAAATTACAAAGTTCTTTCAACCACTCCTCACAATTCAGCAGGGTGAAAATGCATACTGTAAAGTATAAACTGATAACAGCAAGCTGGCATCTGTGCTTGTACCTTTGTGATCAGCTACTTCCTATTGTATGTGTTTTCTTCAGTGTATCAAGGTACAACTCTATCATGTGCTACCTCTTAGTCATCTGATTTATGCAGTTAATTTAGACAATGAGTCTCTCAGGTCTAAGGATACAGTCAATGGATAAAAATAGATTCTGTCATGAGTCAGGTCATACTTGTCAAGATGAGCTTTTCCAGAAGGTCATTTGGGGCAGGAACCTGAACTACAGATGAAAATGGGAGCCTCTCCAATAAATATGTCTTGGCCAGTGAATTTAGGATGCTTGAATTGGGAAGATTACCAAATTATCTTCCTTCATTTCATCCCTTCTTTCTTTGCTTCTTCCATTTTTCATATGCCTTTTACATTACTTGCTGTATCTTTGAACCAGGGAACTTAGACTCATAGAACGGTTTGATTTGGAAGGGATCTTCAAGATGATCTCACTCCAACCCCCCTGCCATGGGCAGGGACACCTTCCACTAGACCAGGTTGCTCAAAGCCCCATCCAACCTGGCCTTGAACACTTCAAGGGATGGGGCATCCACAACTTCTCTGGGCAACCTGTGCCAGTGCCTCACGACCCTCACAGGAAAGAGTTTCATTCCTAATATCTCATGCTAACCTACCATCTTTCAGTTTGAAGCCATTCTCCCTTGTTCTATCACTACATACCCTTGTACAGAGTCCCTCTCCAGCTTTCTTCTAGGCTCCCTTTAGGTACTGGTGACTTACAAGCTGGTACCCTTTAGCTACTGGACCTTTGTCATGTTTGTACAGTGCACAACACAATGGGAATCAGTTTGGTTATGTTATCACACTGCCAATGCTAAGTAATAAATATGAAAATCATATATGTGTATACATTTATGTATATACATATATATATTAAAAAAAGAAAAATTAAATAAAAATATTTCATATCTAATAAGGCTTTAGTTTCTTTTAATGAAAAGAATGTATACCTGCAATTGTATTTTATATGAAATATAAAATATTTCTCCTCTCTGCAAGGAGACCTAATTAAGTTGGTAAAGTATATATTAACTATGCTGACTACAATGATTTTCAGCCTGACCAATTGAAGTGGTTCACGCAGATGTTGGTAGAATTGAGAACAGTCTGTGACATAACAGATAACAAAACAATAACGCAGTCAGGGAATGTGGGAAAATAGGACATTTCCCTAGGGCACCATATGAATTCCTGAGCCATCTGATGTGTAGCAGTTTGCAGCATCAGTCAAGGACACACCTGTTGGAGACTAAATTTTAGCAATTCCTAACCTTTGCTGTCAGAATAGAAGGCCATACGGGCAGAAGCCGTTGTGATACTGGCAGGTGCTATTGTGCCTCTTGATGCTTAAAGGTAGCATCAGGATGCCCTGATGTTCTGAAAAGGAGCAGATGGAAGATTTTTTTGCATATTTGTAAAGATTAATTCTAAATCCATGAGGCATGAGAGTAAATGTGAGTGCTTTGCTGAATCTGAGATTATTTAATTACATGCTTTTAAAAGACAATGAGAAAAATTCAGAGCCAGGATAGATGATGTTCTGTTAATACCTGGTGCTGGGCTGCAGTGCGGACCCTGCTCTGAGTTAGTACCAGCTGGCAGCAGTGAGCACACGTGTGGGAGGTGCATCCAGGTAAAGGAACTCCTCTGCATAGTGGCAGAGCTCTGGGAGGAGGTGAGTAGGCTGAGGAGTATCAGGGAGGGGCAGACAGATGGAATCACACCTGGCCTTCCCCGAGACAGGCCCAACAGTGACAGGACATGATACGGACAATTCCCTATCCTCTCTCCCCCTGGTTGAGCACAGTAACTTAAGGCTATGGGGCAATGGCAACAAGTTCCTTCCCAGGTGTATCTCCTCTGTGACTACCTTTACAGGTGTCCTGCCACAACTGAAAGCAGGCTGTAGTGAGGTGCGGGTGAATCTCTTCTCTCAAGTAACAAGTGATAGGATGAGAGGAAAGGAAACAGCCTCAACTTGTCCCTGGAGGTTTAGATTGGATGTTAGGAAAAATTTCTTCACTGCAAGGTTTGACAAGCCTTGAAGCAGGCTGCCCAGGGAAGTGGTGACATCACCAACCATGGAGGTATTTAAAAGACGTAGATGTGGCACTTAGGGACATGGTTTGGTGGTGGACTTGGTAGTGTTAGAGCAATGGTTGGACTTGATGGTCCTAAAGTCTTTTCTAATCTAAACTATTCTATGATTCTTTGTGTTTGATCACATTTTCTTAATATATATTAACTGACCTAAGTCCTGACTTAGTTGCATCAGTTTTGTGGATTTAATCCCAGTATTTTGATACTTAGAAGGTGAAGTTTAGTATGCAACAGAGAGTTTTTTTCCTTTGATTAAGGATTTATATGATTTATATGATGCTGAATACTGTGACAGTGTGACCAGAATTTAGACAGGACAATCATTATTGCCAGGCTGCTCACACCCTGCCTGTATGAACTTCTAAATGGCACCCAAATCTTCATCAGTGTAGTGTGATGAGATGGGATGTGTAGTGTAATACTGGGATTGTGTTGCAAAGTCCTCATTGGAAATCTGAGGGGAAGCATGTGATATGGAAACATTGGCAAGGCAGCTTGCCTGTCACATGTGAAGGCTGTGAAGCTGTGAAGCAACAAAACCAAATAGCTGTCACCTCTGTGAATTCCCAGTCAGAGACAAAGCCTTCCTAATTTTACAGGAGATAAGGAGCAAATTTCATCCCTTACGAAATGATGATGAAAATGTAGGAGCATCTCAAGAACAGAGAGACGGTGGAGCTGTGTTTCCATGAGTTTTTATAACAAGCAGGAGCCCTATCATCTGTGTTCTCCACGAAGCAACGCTGCAAAGGCAGAAACCTTTTTTCCCCCTGTCAAAGCAAATATGATATTTAGAAACACTGATAATTCTTTACCATTCACATATGATGATTCCAGTTATAAAGAGATTGTGGGTTTTTTACTCTGTTAGCTTCCAAGTAGCTTATATACCTTGAATTAATGAAAAACATATTCTATGTAATGAATTTGGAGGAAGAAAAAGTAAATTATAAACCTGCATTTGTCTGTATTACTGACATACCCATTTCACCTTCAGTTTAAGATGGACATCTACTTAAAATACATAACTAATCCAATACTTTTAGTTAATGTCTTTTTATTACAGTTGAAGTACCTTTTTGGAAAGACTTTTTACGGTTTATGAATACTGAAGCACAGAGCTTCTACAGCAATAGATATATTATAGGAATATAACTATGATAGGGTCAGAGCAGGCACAGGGTTTAGGTGAGCCACGGGCATGATAAAGGAGAAAATTTGAACCTGACTTACTCTTTAGTATGGACTGAACTTTGCCTTAGGCTGGGAATGCAGTTGTCCAACACTAGGCCTAAAAGTTGGCTATGAACCCTTCCTAAAATGTCCTTCTATTGCATGCCAAATGGGCAGATGACAATGGGAGTGTAAGCTCAAGATACTTTTAAATGATGAAAAATTTCTCACAGTGAAATACAGTAAGTGACAAAGGCATGTGGAGAGAACATCAGAGAACATCACCGTGCTTAATATATAGTTAAAAAGCAATAGAAATATTTTGACTTTTCTAGAAAAAACCAATGTATTATATACAGTCAGGAGTATACTTCATGGTATACTATAGCATACCATCTTATAACAATATAAACCTAGTATACCATGCTCAGAAAGAATGCACTTTGAAAACTGACAAGTGATTTCAGGTGTGCATCCAGCTAAAATATTCCTTTTACAACATGCCCTGCATATCACCTGCCTTCTCAGCTGTGAGCTCTGCAGCTTGAAATTTGTGCAGCTGTTTTCCACTTCTTGCTGCTTGGACAAACACAGGCTCTGGTGAGTGAGTCCATGGACAACTAGCAGATCAGTCTACCCAATTGTTTTTTCTTGAAAACATTGCAAACTTTCCAGATGTTTACATCTCAGATGAGAACCAGATGTTTTGGAATACTAATTGTTTTATAAATGGAAAAAGCTATAGATGCCTTGCCAAACAGTTCAGTTCTTTACTTATGAGTGATTATTCAGAGAATACTAAGAAAAACATGCAAAAACATAAAAGTAGAAAAGAGTTTCCTTTGGGAGCAAATAATGGATCTAGAGCCAGCTCATGGAATTAGGAATCAGCCTGAATGGCAGGGATGTGGTCTATGAATCTCTGCAAGGAGAAGAGCAAAGGCTCTTCCTCTAAGGCTCTTTAATAGTAACATAGCTGCTCCACACCTATGCCTACCAATGCTTCCATGTTACAATTCTCACTTGTATGGTCAACATGCTTTAACATACCAGGGAATAAGTTATGAATCCTCTAGCATGCACTTAACCAAGCACCTGCCAATCCTAGCTATCTTGGTTGTAGCTGTGGAAGAACCCCTGACGCTGTCTTCCCTGTGGTCAAAGGATTTGGTCTCTGAAGGCCTTTAAAGGTGCTGGAGGTGTTAAAGTTACAACCCCTGAAGAAGTCAGGAATTATTCCTAGCTCCCTTTGTAAGCAGAAGGGGACTGTGATCCAGTGCTATATTGGGACAAGATAATCCTGTGAGATCTGGGTGTCTAAGGATTTGCTGCCCTCTGTTCTCTACATAGAGGAAATGCAATGGCATGGATTTCATCAGGTCCATAGTCCGTATGATCCTGTGGACGATCAGGGAATTGGGAATCTGCACTTTAGCATGAATCTTGTAATCATGTCAGAGGCAGCCTTAGGGAATGGAAGTAGCAGGCAAGCTAAGGCATAGGACCTTGCCTTTCTCAGCCTGCAATTTAGCAGGCTTGTGCAACTGCCTAAAATAACCAAGTAATGGTCTGTGGTGTTCTCCTTAATTTCTCAAGAAAATAGATCCAAATGAATGATGTAATTGTAATAATCTATTTACTAAACTAAATTATTCTTTTGAAGGGGAAAGTCTTTAGTAGTGTTCATGATACTAGAAAAATTGGCTGAATAACAGTGAATTTTCTTAAAAAAGGACTACTTCTGCTGTCCTTGCCTGCTGGTTATAGTCAGAGTGGGTTCATTGGAGAAGAATACTGGAAGCTTAAGACATCTGGGAACTAAATAGACAAAAATAGGCTTGAAAGTGGTGTCTGAAGGCTGCTATGATCAAAATCCTACTTATGTATTTACATGGATTTATATACCTATAAAGCCAAGAACTTATTATAGTGACATTCTAACAGTTGATTCCAAGAATCATTATTAGTCTAGATCTATTTATTACAGGAAAATAAAGAATACTTCTATGCATAAAAATATTCAGAAATAACAATAATAATAATAATAAAAATAATAATACAGTTAAAATTGTTATGCAAATATTTCTTATTTCCTATTCCTTTTTTCCTATGTTTTGCTCACCTTTCCTCTGCTCTTCTGGGTCTTAAGGTTGTCAGCAGTTTCATTCTGGTGCATGGTGGGGTTATGGGTGCTACCAGTGTCTGGAGTCTTGCAGGAGGAACCATGACGTTCTTTTTGATGGTTTCTTCTTCATCACTCTTAGGATTCACTTTAGGACTTTTCTTGTATGTTAGCACAGTTTCAGACTTTCCTTTCTCTTCACTTCTCTGCAGCTTCATCTTACATCCAAACTTACTATCTATGGTGCCTTTTATGCATGTTAGATACAATTACTTTGTTCTCTTTGTTACCCCTAAAATTTGTTTCATCCAGCTCCAGGTCTGTATTTTTATAACTGACTATAGGTGAGTTCTTTATAGCCATGGAGTCTCCAGTGTCAAGCCATCCCTTATCATCCCATGCATGCACTTTTCTACACTGTATTCTGTGTCTCCGTATCTCAGGATCCCAGCTGCCAAAGTAGGACTAGATTTCTCTATCCTACATCATCATATATGTCATAAATATCTCATTCAATATATGCTTGTTATTGTTACCTATATAAAACTATGACTGTAGGACACAAAAAAAAAAAAAAGTGAAATTAATTACCTGAACTACCTAATCAGTTGGAAGAAATCACCAATTTTTCAGCAGAAAATCCAAGCTAAACCAAGTAATATAATGTCATGGACAGGTCAAGAAAATTTCAGAAAGAACAATCCTGGTAAGCCTCAGTTCTGAGGCCTTGCAAAGCTTATGCCACGTTACCAGCAATGACAGTGCCTATTGCAGTGCCGCAGTCACAAGGCTTAGTCTACAACCTGCCCAGCCAGTTTTAATGACCACTTGGAAGTCAAGTCACCAGCAGAAGAGAGCAAGCGTTGCTTTGCTTCAAGACAGAATGTACGTGCATACTAACAGGATACTTCTCCCTGCTTTCATTTGTTTGCTAGTTCCAAAAGAGTCTTTGTTTGCTGCTGAACAGTTCCACTGGAAACAGGTCTTTAGCTGCGAAACCCACTTCTGCAATTGCCCCTTTAATTTATTACAGAAAAGAGCATTTCCTACCTTTTTGACTTCCAAAGCAGTAATGCAATGAGTCAGATCACTCACCAGGGCTGTGTGTCTCTGTGTGTCAGTCCATTAGGGGCAGTGAAATACTATAATTTCCAGCAGCTGGAGTTCTGGTCCTACATTAGGTTAGAGCCACCATCCTGTTTTTCCAAACTTAGATGTAAAGATTACCATGTACAAGAGCTAGTTTCTCCCTTAATTATCCAAAGAGTTTTTGATTAAATCTTAACCATTCTCTTCCCTCTAAGGTGCTATGTGCACCTCCAGGCCTGAAGCAAAGGTCCTGCAAATGGGAATAAAAGCTAGGTTTTATTTATCTCCAAGCAAAGCATTAGGGATATTGTTTTGCCAATCTGTTTTGCGTCACCCTTCCCCCCCCCACTCCAGTAATCAGGATGAATTTAAGGAACACAGACACAACTTTAAAGAATAAGTATATAAGTTTACTATAGTGGAAAATAGTAAAGAATTAAAAAAGAAACAGTGGAGTACGAAAGGATACACTTAGCAATGCATCTAATCATCACTACGAAGAAAGTCTTATAGTGATTAAGAGAGATCCATCACCAATTACCCTAAGTACTTGTCATCATCCAGACCGCACTTCAGCTGGGAAGGCCCCGATCACAGTGAAGGTCTGGCGAACCCCTTCCCGGTAACTGGGAAATCCTACACTGTGTGTCCACTCACAGGAGAAGCCTCCATCTTTGCTGTGAGAGGGTCCAGCTTATATAGCGTTAAACAAACCAGTTTACCTCATTCGATTGGTGTGGAAAACAATCTGGCTTTCTTCCTCCATTGGTGTTCCCCTGAAGCTTAGCCAAGGCCAAGAGAGAGACCAAGGGAGTCGATCTGGCCGATCTACTATCAAATGCTCCACAGCCTTGACTAGTCACTAAATACAGAACTTACAGCTACATTGATATCTCAAATATGAACTAGCTGCTACCATGTGAGGCCTACTGCTTTTCGCAGCCTTGGCTGCAAAAAAAAAAGGGCATATTTATAACACATACGGGCCTTACTAATTATTGATAACATGCTGTGCTAGCAAGCATAAATGTGTATTCTTAAAGCATTACTAAGGATTATATAGCATCTTGGTAAATAAGCAGATATATGGCTAAATACAATATTAGGTTGGAGAGTTCATCTTATAGGTCAACTTTGGCTGAGGGCCAATCCTTCAGGCCACAGCATTACAGATACCCTGAACAGAAAAAGTTCTTAAGTACACAGGACATACACCAGTCATGACTGACTAATTACATGTATCTTTGCATTTACTGCTCTTTTAGAGGAAGTGTTAATTTAGGCTTAAAAAAAAATAAACCAGAACTATTCTAAAAGTCAGTCAGGTGCACTCCTTTGCCAAGGCAAAGGGCTTCATCATGGAAAACCTCTTAGATTATTAACAGAATCTATCAGCCCAGGAATCCACATCTTGAAGATTGTTTTTTGAAATGAGGCTTCCTGAGTATTTAGAAAGTAACACTGTAGTGAATTTTTTTTAAAAAAGTTTGTTATATGTTTGCAATTCATCAGGGATTATACTTGGAGCTTATGGCTCTAAACTATACTTACATAGATGTGGATGTTCAGAGCTGGATACTCACTAGTACTCTCAGAAGGATACAAAAAAAGTGAATGAGTATCCCAAAGAGGGCCTGAGGAGAGATGCTAAAGGAATTTTCAGAAATGCAGTACTTTTAAAGAAATAAGAACCTAATAAAATAAAGCTTGTAATCTTTATTCAGACAAGTCTGATTCTGTTAGTTTTTATATTGCACAGTATTACTGGGCTTAAATGATTTTCTGATATCTCTGGTACCAGACAGATATCAGAAAAAATTTTAGCTTAGTAGAAGATGCTAGATTACATTCAAAGATAAATATCAGTGGAAAATGAAATGGGAAAAGTTGTTGTTAGACTATATAATTTTATTGGGTTGCTCTTCTAAAAACTGCTGTCTAATCAGTTTTGTTTTTTTAATAGGTATTGGTTTGCTTTGAAATATGGCTGCCAAGCTGCATTTAAACTAAAAAGCAGTGGAGATGCTTCAGAAACAGATCCTTCCAACTTCACTAAAAACCAAGCTATTGATGCAGTGACTGATATTAACATGCTCAGGGTGTTCAAGGCTTTTCTTGAGACCACGCCACAACTTTTTGTCCAGATTTACATCCTCATGCAACATGGCAAAACTAATTGCTATCAATGTGAGTCTTTTTTCTTAATTTGCAAGTTGAGTATCTTACTTAAAAATATAATGCATGTGATTGGATAACATTTTAAACATACCTTGGAAAACACACATTCCACAGTATAATTACCTTCATTTAATTAGATTTTCTGTCTATTGGATGGTCCATTCTGCTAATTGATGAGAAGGAAGATTTCACTATAAAAAGTCACTTAGGCAATACCTTTAAGAACCATAGGCTGGGCAGGATAACATAGGCATACCAAACAAGTATCAGATGCCTAGATTTCAGTAACTAAAGTGAGCCTTAAAATTAAGGTGACTTGTTCCAGAGCACAGAGTAAATATAAAATTGTGGTAAAGTGTTAAGAAGCATAAACTTGTCCAAAACTTCATTCAGATATTATAATGTAACATAAGTATCTTTTTCTCTGGTTTAACATTTTTCCTTGTGTTTTGTCTAGATGCTGCCATTTTTATGTCTTTTTGTGGTATCTCCTTTTCAATGGTTGATTATCAGATGTCATTACGAAAATCTCTGCCTGACAAAGGTGAATTTCGTGTGCCTTCCAAGTTCATATATCTCTTCTATAAACTGCTTACCATCACTTCTTGGGTACTCAGTATTTCACTTATCACTCTACTGAGTGTTAGAATTTCTGTAATTCTGCTGATATTTCTTTGGATCTGTGGCTTCATTTGGACTTTGAAACAAGGTACAACATTTTGCAAATCTAAGAAGATGGAATATCTGTACAGAACTGTAGTTGGAATAATTCTAATTTTTACATTTTTTAACATAAAGGAGAAAAGAACAAAAGTTTGCATTTCTATTTATTATGCTACTCACACTGTAGTAACTCTAGGTATTTTGTTTGTATATATGTTCTGGAAACCTTCCATTATCAAGGAAATACATTTTACGATTGTGATCATCTTAACTATTTTACATCTGGTGTTAGGTATTATTTTTCTTGTTGTTTATTATAGGCATTTTCATCCAACTACTTATTGTAGACCACAGGCATGTTTAGATGAAGTTGATGGAGTGGCAGGAAAAAAAGATAGAGTGAAAACGGGCAGATTTCAAAATTTTTTAATGCCGTGAATGGTGTGGATCTTTTTTTTTGTGAAGACTTCAAAGCAAATACTTGCTGGACAATCTGTTTCTCTGTCTTGTTTCTTATGTATCATCACATAAGGGACCAGAGTTATTGATTTTGAATAACTCTTTGTTTTCTGATACTGTACAAAAACTGTAACATGAATATTTACCTGCTGGTGAAAGTTACTCTTGAAAAAGAAACAATCTAACTATCCAACACGTTCCACTGTTTTAGTTTTTTTCGCAATGCAAATGTAACATAGGAAAAGCTAAAAGTTAATAAAATGAAACCTAGCATTAAAACCACATTCTATTCATTTATGTTGATTCTGTTAAAAATAAGGCTTGCTTTTTTTTCTTGCTGGAAGAAAAGAGGAGTGCATTTGAAATAACTGAGGGCAGTGATCAGTTAACTGCTTTTCCCCGTTAGTGTAAGAGCTGCAGTTCGTTTTTAGATGCACATGGTAACAAACTGTACTGCCTTCTCCCTAAACATCCCCTAAAGAAGAATAGCTTTGATTTATGGCGCAATCACTGTCTTGCAACAAGGAAATTTGGGGAGATATTTTCAAGCATTTTATCTTCTAGGTGTTTTAATGACTCCTTTGTTGTTTTTGTTCTGCTAATCTTTCACAGAATCTTCTGTATTTAGGGGTGATACCAGCTTGTTCGGGGTTATAATAGCAGCCTGAGTGATTTATGGATGGCAACAGGAGTTTTGCATATAAAGGAAGAACTATCTTCCATAAAGCTTTTGTCTCCTTTGGGCTCTAAGATGCAACACTTTCAATGCTGGTTTCCACTGAAATAGGAGGCTGTGCAAGGTATACAGTGGTGCAGAGTCTTTTGTCTTTGTCACTGGAGAAAAGAGAAAAGAGGAGTGACTTCTGCTAAATTGCACTCACAGGGACTGGGAAAAGATATAATAAGTATCTTGTCCATCAAGAATTTTTGGCGGAAGGCAGAGTGAAATTAGACGACATTTCATTGAATGCTAAAACAACAACAAAGGAAGTAAGGTTGATAGTTTCTTCAGAAATAAAATTTAAGGGGAATCATTTCAGAGCTTCCGTGTTTTAAATCTGTATTATGAAAACCTGGGGCTCTTTCCCTCCCATTTTCACTTCCAGTAAGTCACATTTGCAGTTAGAGTGGCTAAAATCAAAGGGAGGAAACAGGGGCTGAGAAAAAAAGACTAGAGATAAGAAAAACTGATAAACTTCACCAGGAACCAAATCTTTTAGCATTATTGATTGACAGCAAACTTCCCTGAAACTTTGGGGGAATGGCTCATAATAAGGTCGATAGTTAGGGTGCTCAAGAGCTGTGTCTTGTGCCTTTTGTATCAACTTCATGGACTGCAGACTGCCTTTTTCTTGTTACTCTTCCAGCCTTACCTGAGCTTAGCAAATTTTCTAGATATGATTCTTTCCTGTTCCATGTCCACATTTTCTTTACCATGCCAACCACGTACATCTCCTTAATCCTAGTCAAGGAAATGAATTTCTATGTGCATAGCTTGAACTGAATGGTCTGACTTTCTGAGACTACACATAAGAAAGTAGTGTAGTGAGAAGTGTTTTCTTCTAAAATCCCTCATTTCCACTCAGGGATAACTAAATGTGAGTCCAGAAGTTAAGACATAGAAAAGCACAATCCATGAGACTAAAGCAATAGTTTTTCTAAAGTTAATATGTAAAAGAGTATCTTCACTTCTCTCTACTCCGGAAAAGAGATTTCCAGATTTTTTTGCCCTGGAACATTCCTTCTTAGGTAAGAGGAAAAAGCCCAAGATTCCACCCTACCTCATGCACCATGATTGCCCTAAATTCTGTCTCCTTTATCGCAGAGTATTTACTACCAGTAATGGTGTCCTTGGCAGCAAAATGCTAGCCTGGTTTTAGGCTGAATATACTTTTATTTTGCTATGAAAAAAATAGGATCCTGAATAGTGAAGATGATCCTTATATTGCTTGCCACACTTGTTTGTTTATCTAAAATCCTGAGAAGGGACTAGGGTAAAATGGTGGAAAATGCAGAATATTATCTCTGTCTTGAAGAAAATGACAATTTTTGTCTACCCATTTTTTCGAGGACCACCTCAAACTTCATACATTATCTGAGAAGCAGATCTCTGGGGAAATATGGGATCCCGAGAAGTCCTAGTGTTTCAGCCCTGGGGCCTCCAGGTTGTCTGCCTGCTGAAAGAAATCTGGAGCCTGAGTTGCTCTGGAGGAAGGTTAGTTTCTGGTGAAACAAAAGAATTTGTCCTGCTGATTTTTTTTTTCTCCTTTCAATGAGCTGAGAAATTCCAAATAAAAGTATTTCATTGCCATCTCTCTGGCCAACTCCTAACACTCACTTTCTTTCATGAAAGAAAAGCTGAATATTATGCTGCCTTCTGTTCTTATGTCTCCTCTCTCCCTCTTCTGTGCCACTAAGAGGAATATTATGCTGAAGTTGAGTTGGTAAGAAAGATATCTAGGTGGCTGTTTATATCACTCTAATTCAAATATACACCAAACCCAATTACTTCAGTTTCAATCCGTATTTTATGCTTGTAAATCCTTGTTGATATAGCCATATCCTAAACCAGCGAAATGATCCTTGGGGAAATCATGTACATTGTTTCTATAAAACTTAAAGAGACCTTCAGTGTCCTGCCACCGATATATCTCCATTTTGCAGTCAGTCATAGGGCCTCAAGAGATGGGAAATCCTGGTAGCTTGTACCCTGTAGATTTTTATCTACAGAGGAATATTATGAGAATAAAAATTTTTCAACTGTAAAGTCCTCCCTCTCTTCTTGACCTTGAGTTCAAGCTTTTCACTTGATTCCCTTCATTTTCACGCATATGAAAGTGGCTTCTCATTTGTTTGGTCATTCTAACTCAGAATCACTGTGGTGGAGTGGACAAGGAAGCACATGAATTGACTCCAGACACATTTCATATCACCAGTGACCACTTCAGACAAAACAAAAAAAGCCCCACTTCACCTGGGTGTAAAGTTCAAATAATAGACTTCATACATATCCTTTCTGTTCCTGGCTACTCTTAAAATTCAGCTGCCACTCAGTTCATGCGTTATGCTTGACCTTGTCATTTTAATCTAACTGCAAATTGAAAACAAATGGGTTTTTTTCTCCCTTTTTTTTGTGTTAAGTATGCCCATTACATCTTACAAGAAGTATTTTAATAGGTAAAATAAAATTAATAAACAATTTCTTCCTGTTTTGACTACTGTCAGGCCTGGGTAAGAAGAACAACATTCAATAGAATTGTTTTAATTATTTTACTAATATTCAACGTGCCATGTGATGGCATGGGTGAGCTCACCTGATGTACCACAGATAGCATTGATTTATGAAGCCATAATTGGGTTTCCAATAAACATTTGTCAAAATAATGTATTCATTCAAACCAATGCCTTCTTTATTTATTCATATAAAAGAGCACTTAACTTTCAACAAAGAATTGCCTGCCATCAAAAACACTCCATAAACGGGGGAAATTTATGAAGATACTGTACCAAATGGTGATTGGTGGAAGACTAAAGTTCACTTTAACCCTTCAGAGTGCTGAGTTCCACCTATTGCTTGATACCGGTACTAGACATACTTCTTACTGAAAGCCCAAAACCCGAACATCAACCTTTGTATATTTACACATTGAAGTACCATCTCTTTTTTCTACCATAGAGTCTTACATCTCACAGATGGTTTCAAAACTAACATCTCTCATTTTTATTATGCAGTGTAGAAGCATGCACAGAGCTCAAATATTTTTAGGCTTACCTACATTCTGCCCACAGGTTTCACCATGTATACATTCTTCCAGGAAAAGATAAGCTTTGAAAGGTTAAACAACATATCTTGTCTGAACCTGAAGAAGTACATGTACTTGTCGTTTATTCCAAGTGAAGAATTGTCCTGTTTTACCTCTTCATGCACTTCTCTAGTTTAATTTTACAGAATTTTAGTAGAAGAATAGCAAAGTAGATGGGCTGTACCATAGATATTTGAATGGAGTGCAGCTAATCTCTTGGAGTCCATCTTCAACAAAAAAATTTTCTTCTTTTACCTCCAATTAGCTAACATATAAAAAATACAAGTCACACCAAAGATTCTCACTATGCAAGTCTTACATTCATTAGCTTAGTAAAATGTAGAGTTTGGTGGGATAGGCAGTGATGCTTCAAGCAATGTAGCCTGCTAGAACCTATTGAAAATACAAATTGCACTGGTCTTCCTATGACTGTATTCTGGTTTCCATATGTTTCTATTTTTAGCATATGGTTTTTATTTCTGACAGTGAACATGTAAATAACAGAACATCATTATCATTATCATTACTACTAGTGGCACTTTGTCGAAGTGTCTAGGATGACAATACGTAGAAGAAAATCTATCTGTTGGATCTGGAAAGCAACAAAAATTAGTAGTAAAGTTCTGTAATGCTTTATCTGAGCACTTACAAGTGATCTCAAGTCTCTCTGATTCAGCAGAGATATTTTTTAGTGGGAGCCTACAAAAGAGATAGTTAATCCTTTTGATCTGTGAGCAGTAAGTAAACTGCTGAAAATAAAGGGCCAAATGTTACTGGACAGTTCCTGGCTGCTGTGATAAAGTAAACGACAAAACTACATGTTTGCAGGTCACTTGCAAAGATGAAGGTACACAGAGAAAGGCATAGTGGGTAGAAAAAATGGGAGCTGGTGTTTTTTCCACATAACCTACTCCACACATTCAGTCTAACTTGAAGTATGTTATGCTGTACTAGAGGTGAAAGAAACCTCAAACATAATTTTCATCTTTTTTTTCCAACAGTATGACTTTTAATTACTCAAATTCAATGCACTGTAGCACAAATATTTCTGTGCAGAAGCTCTGTCTTATCTCTTCTTCCCTCTTTGAGTGTTTGGTTGCCACCCTAAAGTATAAGTTCAACTGCTGCCTTCCCTAGGGTCTGGTCTCCTTTAGAAGTTTCTTTTCATGAATATTCAGCCCATGATTGAAAACACAGCTTCTCTTCTTCAGTGGCAGGTATTTAGTCATCAGAATTTGTCTGTGTGTTCACATAGAAATTTGAGCATCTTCAGAAAATTGCCATTAGGTTTTTACAATCCTGCTATGCTTATATTTGGGGTTTTCCAAAAAACTACCTTCTACACGATGATGTGCATCTTTAGTGAACATTGCATTATTCAACTGATAGAAGAAATGCATTTGCCTGGTTGAAGTTAAGCTGAGTGGGGATACATGCCACTGTCATGATGGAGACTGAGTGCTATTGATAGTTTTGTAGGCCATCAGGTCTTTGTCTTACTGTTTGAATTGGATGAAAAGGCAGAGAGGGAAGAGAGTATTTTTGTAATCTGGGCTCTGGAAAATGGTATCATACAATAGGTACAGTGACACAGAAAGACTACGTACTACAGGTCTCTTCCATGCTGTTTGGGGCTGTATTTTGCTGGGCTATAGACATTCCTAAACTTAGCTTTAAAAGAATAAGTCTTCGTCTCCTGTCACTTGCTTTTGTCAGCACTCTCAAGCAGAAAACAGTACCTCATATAGCTCTGTGCTACTCTGTCACATTCACTAGTGTGTGGCAGTGTTACCTGAGTGGTATTGATACTTGTAGGTTGGTATTTACCTCAGATTTCTGTCATACACAATTAATTCAAATTGCATGTTAAGTTGTGTAAGGTTCTCTTTGACCAACGGAGAAAATAATTCACACCCATCCTGTCTACCCTGCCACCTATTCAGGATGTGGTAAATGTTCCTTTAGGAGGTGCCCTTTCCTTTTGACTATGGCAAAAATGTCAACAGTGTGCACTTTAGGTAGGTAGAATGAGGTTATGTAACTGACCCTTTGTGTAATAAAACTATCATATGTAGCAGAACTCCAGCAAATTATCAGCAAGAATTTTTCCTCAGGTTGTTTATATAGAGAGCAAAGGGATGTTAGTTGGCTATTTCAACCACTGAATGCTAAAAAGTGAATGGTAGGAATGCATCTTCTCTATCCTATTGACATGGACTACTCTGAGGTGTTGAGAGCCTTTGAATCTCATTTGCTTCCTGAGCATAAAGGCTTACATTTAGCATTTCAGACTACCTTATTAAAGACTTTGGACCACTTCTGAACAACATGTTGAAATAAGTAACCTTTCTCTGAAACTTGGTATTAATGTCACCTGTGCCAAAAGCAACCATCTCGAGTGCTTGAAAGATAAATGCATTATCAACTTTTATTAGGTGCAAATTGCTGATACAGCCCTATTTTCTCACTTGAGAAGAAAAGTGGAAGGAACTTACCCCTGGTGAATTCTCCCTGGATTCTCTACCACGGCCTTGAGTACACGGATTTCACTGAGTGTGACCTTATATTCTGCAGAGCTGACTGGCATAGTTACATAAACACAAGGGAAAACAGACTAGGCCACATAACATGGAAGAAGTCCCTTATAAACAACTTCTTAAATGACACTACTAGAATTTGCATAAGCTAATGATCTTGTGAATTGGCAAACAGTTACCGTAATCAACAGCATTTTAAAAAAGCTAATATAAGCGAAGTTGTATTTCAAGTTGCATGTCCATTTCTACTGTGTTCTGTTAAAAAAGAATTTTATAACAGAAATAAGCATGGCAGTTTCAAACAAGAATGACTATTGTGTGAAAAACACAAGTATAAAATTATAATTACTGATTTGACATCCATAATTATAATCAGACTTGAACAACAATTGTAGCTATCAGTAACTAATTTATGCCTTTCTTTGATGGAAGAAATGAAACCACGAAAAGCCTTTCCTCACTTATGTTCTCCAAGCCAAAGAAATAATATTTACAAGTATGTATTTAGAAGTATAATTAAAGCAGCTGGGTGTGGCCTTCTTCCATCAGAAAGAAAACCAAAACACAAAACCACAAGGGGTTTTGTTGTTGGTTTTGTTTTGGTTTTTTTTGTTTTTTTTTTTTTGCTAATGAGGGACTGCGCATGGGAGAATAGAAACTGTTAACTTGCAGGCCTTGTATAGGCAATGACTGTTTTTCCCTCACCACAGTGGGCTGGACCTCTGAGGCTCGGCAATTACCAAACACCACATGCAAAGTGGAGTGCAAACCAGCCCTTTGCTTGCTGGTTAATGACTACATACACTTGCGTGTTTTGAGAAAGGTGCTCAGCTCAGCCACTTGG